GTGAGTTAGTCAAGTGCCAAGTGTCGGCAAGAAGCATGTGTACCTCGTTGGAACAACCAACTTCATGACTAATAGTCAGGGGTTTGTGACTTTTGATTGCTCACGTGGAACGTGCAGGATCATGGGGCCTTTACTGGCCACTCAGTACTTTATAATTCGTTTTTGGTTCGCGTGTTTTGATGGTACATGAATGCGCCTATAGCTATGTCAGCACCACTGGTGACTAGTGACACTTGCCATCCGTATTCCGGGCATGTGTGTGGTACGAGTACGTGTATATCGAATGGGAACTTGGTTTGCATTCTTAGCGTCTTTTCTGCGTGGTCACATTTATGCGTAAAATTGTTTCCGTTCTTTTTGCGTTGTGTTCTACTCCTTTTTTATTATGGCAAATTGAGTTTTATTCTGTTTGCCGGTAAAAGAGGCTGTGAACACTGGTGAGTGGCTCAGGTCCCGGAAGTGCCATGGGCCAGTGTGTCTATATCAGTTCCCACATGTGCACGCTGAGCAATCCATGTACATCTTATTGGTAAGGTTTCACCTGCACCGGTAAAGACGAGGTGACGACACGACAACCCCTCTCCCATAAAGGGCTGCGCGCCAGAATCCAACCGGATTAAAAAACGCACAAATGTGAAGGACATAATGGATACGAGTTAAGAGTAACTGTCCACCATTGTAACTACATGTAGATTTTTATAATTATAAAGTCAGAAAGTGCAACAACTAGGCACAAAACTGACGGATAAGTACTGAAACATTCGACGACCTGACACCTACACCAAGATTCAACACATTTCCCTAGAGCTACAAGTGTCCAACAGCCTTCCAACTCGAACTTTCCGAGTTGGAAGGCTGTTGGCTAGCGCTACGAAGATGTGTTGAAGCTAGGTGTCAGGACGTCGAATGTCTTAGTACTCAGCACTTTCTGACTGTATCATTGTAGTAGCCAGTGGTGGACAGTTAGTGGCCGTTTACATAAGAAAAATAAGCCCGGAATTATTCAACCCTAAACTTACGATAAGCCCACCTTGATCTGTAACCCCGGCAGTCGCTTTAGAGCGCGCGGTGAGGTGGGCTTATTCAACTCACCCCGAGCTGAACTGGTCCTACCCTTGACCCCCGAGCTTATACAACTCCCAGGGCGTATTTTGTCATGTCAACGATCAAGAATATAAGCCTTGTGCTTCGAGTTTGTCCTTATTTTTCGATTTTGCCTCGTGAACCTGAGAGGATATCGCTGCGGACAGTGCGTCTCTTTTGTTTCTTTCTTGTCATTTTTTCTTCTGGTTTTCGTTCAGTGGAAACTCCTAGGCGATCCTTCACCTTCTCGAAAAATATTTAACAATGGGAAAGGCAGTAGAAGCGTGAACCGCCACCTCTTGACCCAAATTTCATCATACACGAAATTTTATCACTGCGTTCATGTTTGATTTGAAAAATAGAATGCTCGCTGAACTCGCAGGCACCCACTTGAACTCAACCCCATACAACCATCTTGTAAAGGGTTGAAACGTAAGCCCGAGGCGAATAAGCCCCGTCTTTTTTTTATGTAAACGGCCCCTTACTCTTAACTCGAATCCAAAATTAATTTCCTTTTCCTTTCTACATTTATTATTGACTCAACATCCGAGCGTTCAATTAGAAAAAGGCACAATGATAATATCGGATGGAGAGCCAAGGATTAAAATTAAAAAAAGAGGACCACAAGTTTATAAGTTATCCGTTTTGTTCAACACTAAGCAGCTAAGCATCAGGTCGTTGAATGTCATGATCTCCTCATCAATCCCTACTTCTCTTTGTACATACATCTACATCTACTGTTCTTTCAATCAAATGAACCCCTCGATAGGCACATTGCCTTTGGGTCATTTCATAATAATAATAATAATAATAATAATCTCATCAGTCAGTTTTGTGCTGTTTGTTGCACATGTTTGACTCAACAGTATTCTGCTTATAACCGTTAGTGTTGGACAAAACGGATAACTTGTAAACGTTTGGTCTTCTTTTTTAATGATACTTCGAAGTACATGTAATATCATTGTTCGGCTGGTCCCAAATCTGACCGCCTGTCGAGGAGTTCATCACAGCGCTGAATTACATGTACATGTACACGATCGTAAGATGCACATAAATGTACTTGTACATGTACATGTACATGTACAGCCGGATGATATGCAAAATGATTATAATGATGGTAGTGGAGCATAATGAGCCCAAGTGCATTTAACGTGCCGCCAGACAATTCTCGAGTGCTAGCATGCCCTCCGCACACTTTGAATATACAGTACATGTACAAGTACAAAGTCATAATGAGGAAGCAAAATATTCGCTTGAATGTTTTGACACTGTCCGCTTCATTTGCATCCGTATTCACCTGCGTTTGCACGCTTCATGTTCAGTTGCCTTTCCTATGCTAATTTCAAGACAAAGGTGACACAGAAGGTTTGAGCCTTGAGGGCATGTACATGTACAGCATGTTCATGATTGTACACGTGTCAAGAGACCACAACTTTCTAGACAAGACAGTAGCATCCTTGATTAGAATTGGTGTAATGAGTATGGGGTTACACGTACTGTTGTGCTGTGCTGGGACAGCTTGTAACACGATAACTATACCTGTACCTACATATACATATACATGTATACATGTACAATGTATATGTATAATTGTTCTTGGTATAGTACGTGCTCCGCAATGAAATCTGAGTGAGCAATTCCATGCCATGTTGGGCGCTAGTGCAGCACACGATTTACGAACACCGGAACGTGAACTGGTGCAAGCAGCAAACCTGACTGATTGGATCGGATATCATTGAGCATCACTTTTTGAGACAAAACTAGTGTTAATAGCTATCCAGGCTTAGGGGCCATTGGGCATTGTCGATAATTTTCACGAAACGAAAAGTCTAGTTACTACCCCCCCCCCACTGAATGAAAAATAGCTGACTTGAAAGCTGGAAGGCATTGATGTCTCACATATCAGTAATTTTCAAAACGAAACTCTCCTTGACCCACCCACCCATAAACGAAACCTTTTTCTTTTCGTGTAAAAGATCGATATTATAATTATAATGGACCACCCCTTACACTGTACTCCACTGCGACATGTGCAAGAAAGGTCCACGCTTTAAATATGTTTCTGTTTCAACTCAGGAGTTTCTATACACTGTGGAATGACTTTTGCCTGATGACCGCGTAAGTGTGAAGCTCCTGAGTTGCAGTAAAATTCTATTCCGCTTCATTTGTAGTTGCCTTACCGTCAGGCAACAGTTGGCCTGTGGTATTATCTCCTACGGCGTTAGGACGTTAGGAGTCTCAGCCAAACCCTGAAAGTCTAAGTAATTTCCTGTATTATAATTATACACATTATGCAATGTACACAATGGCAGAACAACAGAGACCAAAAAATCTTTCTCGTAACTCGCAGTTTCGTGTTCAGAGACACTCATCAGACTGGTGAGTAATATTTTATGTTGTTCTGCCTTGCGTAGTGCGCTCTGCCTATGTTGAGGTATTGAGCACTATTTGCAGCAAGGACTCCAGACACTTTGTGTATGCAACGCACATGTCCATGTAAATCTATATTCTTTTCTGTCATGTATACATAGTCGAAACTGATGGTATTGGACCGCGTGAAGCCCAGTGTTGCGTGAAACACGAAGTCCTTGTCAATGTTATTATAGCTTTCTCGAGGACGCAGCGCTGTGCGCGCCAGCGGCGCTCATCCCGACAGATCATACCATATGTGAAAACGCATTGGACATTATATGAAATGCGACAACTTCGCTTACACCAGGGCTTGGAGCGATTCTGATGATTGCTATTGTTTGCCCAGGCTACGGCCCCTGAAAGTGTTATACTGGTGTTCAGCTGTGCAGATCTTAAACTCTGGGAAGTCTAGCTAGTAGTAGTATACAAAGCACATCAACTACAGCGCTGGCAACTGAAATCCGATCCCCTTTCGGGCACGCCGCGCCGGCAAGGTGGTCGGATTTCAGTTACCAGCACTGTACATGTACATTTAAGTGTACCAAGATCAGGTGAATTCTGCAAGCATTGTGAAAGGCAATAATTCTACAATATCAATGAAAACTAATTTTCAGTGCAGATTGAATCAGAACTGTATAGGGGGAATCCGGAAGTAAGTTGAAAACAACCCTTTTCTTCTATTGTGAAACGTACATGAGAAATGCACATGACGTACACAATCATGTATCTCTATTTGAACACGTTACTGTGTACACATGTAAATTATACATGAACTTGTAACACTGACTCATGTACATGTGGTGACGGCTGGTCAATCACAGTATCGATATCATTCCGCTTTATCGCGTCTTTGGCGCCAAACAAGGACATCTGTGATCTTTCGGCTGAAAGGAGCAACAGGACAAATGCTTACCCTAAAATACATAGGGGCTGGTTCAACATCCTCTGTCAATGCTGACCTCCATGGTGTCAATTCGGGGACGTCTTATACAGGTAATCGCGCGATTATAGCAAAACGAAATGACCAACCTAATCCCCAGCCACGCACCAAGCTACAACTAGCACTGTATGTAACAGGCCATACTACGATCAGGTACTGTACATGTAATCTGACCGTCTCTTTCATGACTTCCAAAGAAGATGTAAGCATCAAGTGAGGGACGCTCGTGGCGATGACATGCAAATGGTGGGCAGGATAGATACTGCTTCATGGCATCCTGGAATACGGAGGTGACGTTGTGTGGAAGCAGGATGTCCTTGCGCTAGCGCAGGTGCTTCCGTGCGATTCATACTGAAGCATCGTGACAGCTAAACACTTGACAGCGCAAGGGCTCCTTGTCGCATGGAGGGGAGGTACTTTGTGACGGTGTGTGTGGTGTTCAAGTACTAGGAGATAGCACGCTCTGCATTTGGGTATGCGCGATCTCGTGTGTGTGTGTGTGGGTGTATGTGTGTGTGTGTGAGAGAGAGCCATCGTAGTACTGTGCATTGTAAAGAGGATGCCCTAACTATACGCACAAAATGCGACCAGCAGAACCAGCTCCGAGACAGGCAGGTGGCACACTTTCCTTCTCTGTTCCTTGTCCAGTTCAACTCTGGTACGCTGTGACAACAACTAGCCCTGTTTTCTGCCTAGAAGAGTGCATTGTCCCTGCTGTTTCTTCTGTGGAGAGCGTACCGCTAACAAAGGCAAAACAGCTTTTGGTCGTGGCAGTGAGCTAATCTCATCAGTGGCTGTAGATCTGACGACCTCTTGTGGACAATGGCTACAATCGGCGTTCTCATGCTGCTGTTGATTGCGTGTGAAGTGTGTACAACTGGTGCAGGTAAGGCGCAGAACAATAACAATCACCTGTTACTCCATACTGTGGGGTTTGGGTTGAGCATTTGTATAGCACCGCCGGAGGCCGGTACGAAACGCAAATACGAGAGAAACAGGCAAGACGTATTTTGCACCCATGGCGCCCGCTAGAGGACAATGGCATAATCGTGCGTGACAAATGAACAGATACTCAGTAGCCGAATGAGTAGAAAGCGGGTAGTATATGCCATTATAGCGACTCACAAAAAATAATGATGAAAGTCGTTGCAAGTGAAGTTAGTCACTCCACCACGGTAAGATAAAACCTGAAACCGAATTTGCTGCTCAACCATTCTATAGGCGGAGAGGATAATGTACCAGCAGTCAAGCCAAATTCCCTGCGTTTATGACTTTCGACCTTAGGGGTATTCCTTGCCAAGCGCACCACACAGCCACGCTCCAAAATTTCTATCCAGGGGACCAGTTTTGCTAAAGGCTACATGTATCCCCGTGCCAGTGTTTCGGTACCTTCAGGGCTACATGTACATGTACAGTCAACTTCGCTTATAACGACACTCGGCAGGGTATCAAAAAGGTGTCCTTATTCGCGAAGTGTCGTTATACCCGAAGTCTCATTATATGTATTACAGTGGGAATGGGACTTTGCTCTGGGCATGGAAATTCTGTCGTTATTCGCGAATTGTCGTTATATCCGCAGTCGTTATTAGCGAAGTTGACTGCTACTAGTAAAGTGTTGTAAACGGGCCTTCTGCAGGATTCTAGAAAGTAGAGAGATACTGAAAGTCATTATCGTAACGAGCCGTAAATATAGCGATTTCCCAAGATTGATCGTTTTACTTTGAAGTACATGTACGTGTACCAAAGGTAACGACTCTCACTCATTCTAAACGCCCAATGGCAATAGTATAAGTCACGAGGTATGTACAGTGTACAACGCGTTAGTTAGTGAGTTGACTGTTATGTATAACTTGTATATCGAGATTCCCCTCGTTAACTCTTTAGACTTAGCACTTCGTTATAAAATTAATATAAATTAATATAAGGCTTTTTACAGTAGTTCAATATCCCATGTACTACCTGTTCGTATTGACTGTTTAGTTGCTAAATCCATTTGATGGACCAGAAAAGAGATAGGTTTGCAAATGGGCGCACTACATATCCAGGCGCCAACGAACATGAACATAAAGCAATCAACGGAACCGTTCGATATGCCATGTTTTGCCAGAGCTTCTACTCCGCACGTTGACAGCGTACAGGTCCCAGCTAAATTAGACCTATAAATATGTGCCATTCATGAGTAACAGCTTCAAATTAGAAACGAGAAGTATTCCTTGTTTCAACTGTTCACTAAGTAACTTAGTATATTACATGTTTCTGGCTTCTTTGTCCAGCATGGGCAAAATGCGTTGCGATTAACCGCGACATGCAGTTTATACGATCGCGCACATCATGGTTGTCTGCCGAACAAGACTGTCAACGACGTGGTGGTCACTTGGCCACTCTCCAGAATAACGCTGAGTTTACCTGCGCAAACATCGCACTAGTCCTGAACTCCACCTGTCAGGATGGCAGCTGTGGACTGATATGGGTTGGCCTCAATCAACTGAACAGCCTTCGGTCGTATCACTGGATTGGTAATCACAACAGTGGGCAGTCCGTAGCTGGAGGAGCTACAAGCGTGTGGGGACCGGGACAGCCGTCAAGTGACCAGGAGAGATGCGTGGGTTGGCTACCGACTTTGAAACTGGCCGACCAGGAATGCAGCCATCCTAACGGATACATATGCGAAAGGCCTCAGCAGACTTCAGGTAAGGATGAATGATAAACCTTTTAAATTCTTCCGTTAGTATTTCCCCTCACAGGACTTGAATGAAACAGAAATTGAACACCACAAGATTTCAGAATCCGCTACTGAAGTACTCCTTTAATATAGATGTTAGGGGAACAACTTCATCTGCCACTAACAAAATTGCTAGCTTGCCGAGTTCACTCCACACATCCTAGTGTCATGGGATTTAGGTTCTCTGGTTCTGCTTCCATCATGCTGAGGCTTCACTTTTAAGATGTTATCATCATGACTTCAACATCGACACACCTGAGGCAGTTGAAAGGAGCAACAAGGCATGAAATTCTTCCTCGACTTACACACATTTACATGATCGTGTACATGTATATGTACGAGTATATCAATTTTACAATGAATGCATAGAACATCTACCAAAGGACCCATGTAAATGTACAAGGGGACGGCGAACATGTCGTCAGTTACGATTAATGATCCACTGACGTGCTACTACTTGTGTAAACACTAGATAATAATTATACTTGTCAATGCACATAATATTCGGTGCACGAACATCGTTTCTACCCCCATGGCCATGGGTAAGTCCATTGACGTGTAGGGCTCTATTTGCCCCGTCGGGCCGTCGCCGGAATGGCGCTGACGTGGATGTTGTCGTGACATTTGTTGTGACCGTTTTCAGCAATTTTCAAGTGTGTGTAACGGAAAACCGAGTGAGGGTTGATAGTTGCTGCAACCTGCACCACCTAAACTGCGTTTATCTGTCCGCTGTGTTACAGCTATTGCAGCCACTGTAAGTAGACTGTGCCAAGGCAAAACGTACACTTACCACAGCATCGCAGGGTCGTACCAAGATGCGCAGGCATCTTGCCAGGCGAGCGGCAGAGCTCTGGTAGGTAACACGGATCCAATACAGTGTGTCCAGGATCTCTTCAGCGACACCAGGCTTACAGATGCCAGACTGCTGTCTTACTGGACATCCTGCGGGACGAATGGTGCCGCATCGGAATGCGCCACTACTCTTGACACGAGTGGAGTCGTTTGGACAGTTCTGCTGCAAGGAAAATCCACAACCTCTGGCTCCCATCCAAGGCCATTCATCTGTAGAGGTATGTCTTGAACGCTTGAAGTCACTTTTTCTGGCCCCGTTTAGCACGTATCTTTTGAAAGTGAGAAAGTGAGCCTCCAACAGAAGGACACACTTTCTCGAGTTTGTTGACAAATGCATGACCTTCACTTCTTTAATTGAGCTTTTTGCGTCCTGCATCAGAATTATTACTTGCTCAAAATATGTCAGTGATACATATTATATACTTCGAAGTACGTCATGGGAAACTGCCAGCTCTACATTTTCTTTAGGTGATTCTGTTGATCGTTATCGTTAATGTGTGATGTGCAACACGGTCGAAACAGCAAGCAATGCCTAAATGAGTTGGTATGGTTATACAACTTTGCATTGATTTACAGATGCTGACCCTACTACGCCGACTATTTCGGTGACATCACAGCCTTCCACAACCAGTACAAATCCAGCAACCACAGCGACGTCACCAGTCCAGGCTGTTACAACACCTAGAGATACTGATGAGATCACAACGACTGCAGGAACAAGCAGGATCCCAGTACGCACAACCCCACGTGTGACTGGCACTATCTCAACCACCGCCCAACATCCCACATCAGTCGCCACTGCAACCAGCCCAGATGACATCTCCACGACATCAGGAGAAGAGAATTATGTGTCAAACCCAGCTTCATCACAAAACATTCCTGGGTCTACCAAAAGCAAGACCACTCAGAACATGCCAAACGAAACCAGTACAAGCGCCGTCACCACTGAAGTCACAAGACCTCAGACTGTACAGCAAGAGGAGGTTGCTGGGGACAGCACCACGGGAATCGTGATTGGTGCTGTGCTTGGATGCGCATTCCTCGTCTTGCTAGGTATACTGCTTGTCTGTTTCCTGAGGCTGCGTGAGGGCCTGATCAACTTTCCAATGAGGAATAAATGTGAGTATCAGAACTGGGCATTGTCAAGCAATTGGATGGGTAGTACATACTTCGAAGTAATAGTAAATAGTTGGTTAGAGCATTGCTCGCGAATAGCAAGGTCCCTGGTTCGAGTCCCAGTGGTGTGACTGATGATTTTTTCTTTCTTTCATATCTGGCTTGCAAGTGTTGAGTTTCGGAGAGAAAAGAGCAGTACGTGGCATGTGGCCTCTAATTTCCTACTTGTAAGTAATAGTAAATACATCGCAGGAAATGCATGGCTATGTAGCGCATGTGGAGATAGCATAATAGAATGTTCACTGATTATATGGTCGAATCCTATATTTCTTGCTGGCTATTCGATCGAATACGTTTCTGGGCAGAAGAACATTGAAATGTCACTGAAACGTGTTCTAGAACGTTATCATGGGTACAACAATTGTCCAGCCTGTGGTGGAGTTTTGCCCACACGTTTCTACAGTACAGCTATATCTTTATTGTATTTCTCTACTCTGGCTGCTACTTTTTGTTGTGTTCCCAGCTGCGTCAGTGAGTTCAATCGAGAGCAATCACGCCTTCAGGCCGGATCCATGCCGAGCACTCGTCCATACTCCTAGCACCAAAAAGGTAAGGATTGAACACTGAAATAAACTATAGTCAGCCCATCTTGTTTTTGAAGTACCAGTACAGTTCAGAGCGAAATATGACTTCATTCAAGTATTCACATTTCATACAAAGCATGCTGAACTATGTGTTAGTCTTGTAGCCTCCAATGCATTGGTTCCCAATATACATGACAGACCTTTTCGGCTGTTGCATTTTTGTTCACTCCAGATCAAAGCGACACCGGAGCCTGCTGGGCTGTACGAGAATGTGAAACAAAAGGTAAAACCTTGCAACGTTGAGTTTTTCACATCACTGGCGAAACAGGATGATGCATTCCACTTGAGGAATAACAATGTAAATAAATATCCAAAAATTACTAAATAAATAATCCAAAAATTACTATGTACATGTTATGTCATGTTTCGCAAAGTGCAAAGACTCCACTGCAGCCATCCACAATACTCATACATCTTCATGACGCTTACTGATCAGTCTCTGGGCTACACCAATCACTAAAAGAAAACGAGATATCAATTATGATGAGGAAAGGAAAACGACAAAATGTTACGAGTTATAACAAACTGTCCACCAACGTAACCAGATCTGATACAGTCAAGGACTTGTGTAGCCCAGAGACTTTGGAGATCGTCGTTATGATGTATGGGCATGTAGTGTAATGGGCGAGTAATCTTGGGTCTTATGTATTGACTATTTCCTCTTCTGTTTTCGTCAGAATAAGGATATGAAAATAATGATCTGCAAACTCACGTGAGTGTTATGCTGTTCATATCCCATGTGCTTATAGAAACCAGAGTACGAGGATGAAGAAGTGCAGTACGCCGTTATAGAACCGATCAAGGATAGGAGTGAGGTGAGAATTCATCTACTTCAAGAGCTACCATCACGTTCTCAAATACTGCAGGTGGTCATGAGATTAATACTGGAAGTCCTGCGATATTCGTGCTGAACCTGCCATATTTATAGGTACAAATTATGCATGACTTGTATACACGAAGGCTGTGGCACCATGAACCTCTTTTCGTGCAACAAACATTGAATGCTGAAGATGTACTGCCGTGTCTGGGACTCTGGATTACTAACCTGGAGGTATCTGAATAAATCAAATTCTAGGATCATTAACAAGCATGAGGTGTGGCGCACTTTTGTATTATAGGTTGTGTGTGTTGGAGCTAGGTGTCAGGTCGTCGAATGTCTCAATATCCTTGTCAGTCTTGTGCCTTGTTGTCGCACTATCTGACTGTATAATTATTATCTCGTAATCTAGGTGGACTGTTCGTCATAACTAGTAACTTGTAATTCTCGCTCCACATATACTGGCATACACAGAGACAAAGACAGCAATAGCGACAACACACAAAATGAAGGGAAGTTGGCCGCAGCTAGATGTGACTACAGTTACGAGTTATGACCAACAATCCACCAAGGTAACGAGATAAAAATACTGTCAGTGCGATAACAAAGTACAGTGTACCTAGCTGGCGGAGGTACCGAGATATTCAAAGAAATGACACTTTCACAAATATCGAATTCGAAATCAAACATCATCGTAAAATTCGATACGCGAAATACGGCCAAATATTGCATGAAGCATAACATTTTAACGCCGCTATTTTAAGCTAACGGTAGCCCTTCCATTGTATCCCTGACCGATGAATATGTTTTTTAAAAACCCTTGATGATGTACATGTATTATGTGAACTTGATGACCAATGTTTGTGATCCGGTGCTGATTTTCCCGCAGGATGCGATACGTGGAAAGAAAGAGCCTCCCACTGACTACGCCGAACTGCAACACAACATCGTGGAGTTGTGCAGATCTGTATCGAGATGAAGTACCCCAAACTACCGTACTGGGATCTGTCCCTCTCCTATTGCGAATGTGGTCTCACTGGTTCTGTTGTGAGCTTCTACCTGAGTGAATAGAACAAGAGAAGTGCCACCTCGGTGCGCCTCAGGCGGGTGTGCAAAGTAGCGGTTGAAAACGGTCTTACCCCAGAACCTGTCTTGTTTCTAGGCTCTTGCCCAACAATTGGCAATGTTGCCAAAGATTGTATATACATGTACTGAGAACTATTATAATTCCATTAAAATAGAATAAATCACATGGAAACGAGTTATAATTTCTTTTTTAATTTCATGCTAGCAAAGAGTATTATAACGTTGAGCCATTTCGTTGCAGCTGCCAGCATAATTATGGACCGTAGTACCATTTCATGCCTTACTCACAGCACGATATTATAGTATTTTCGACTCCATAGTACTTTATTGTAGTGTCTGGTGCTCGAGGTCTCATGAAACGATACCTTTTCTGGGACATGGATGTACTTGACATTTGCCATAGCGTTACACCCATAATTTAATTATTACCTTGAAGTGCAATCATTGGATTTGGAAACTACACGATTCACACTGTAATCTCCAGAATGAACTGATTCACGCTGTAGAGATCCATGGCTGTCTTTTTGCTCTATCAGTTTAGCACACAACGAGAGCGGCATTGGCATTGGTTGGGGATGGCGGTTTGCCAAGTGTTACGCCTTGATGTGCGTTCATTGGGGTTTTTAAAACTACATGATTCACCTGTGAATAACGTCCGTTTCGTTTGCGTATAGGATGTTACTGCACCTGGAGTGCGCTCATTGATGAATGAATTGACTGGGGGTGATATTGCTGATGTGGCATTATAGACACGATACCGTATGCGTATATACACGATATGCTGGTGACAAGAGCTGTTGATTTAGTGAAAGATCTGCGCCTGCTGCCGATCTGGAGGCTATCTTGGAGTATGTATAACACTAATTCTGCCTTTTTCTACTCGGAACCCGGACATCAAAAATGATCACAGGGCACGATTGCTGCTCAACTTTATTGTTGACCGCATAATAGGGTACGAGGTCGTGCACATTCCCAATCTTTATCTTTGGGCTTTCTAGACAACCTCAATTGGGAAATGATCTCCTTCTGGGCCCCATAACTGAAGTACGTGACACCCTTCGACTGTTGTTTTCGTATGCAAATGTGAGAATGGAAACAATGCAATAATGGCATCCGCATTCTACAATTTACCGTATTTAGTCGCAGAGCCCCTGTTCTTTGACGGCTGCTGCTGAGCCACTGGCTCATTCGTGTCAAAAGAAGATTGGCTCAAGCCCAACAGCTGGAGAGGATGTCACTTCCACAAAGTGTTATGCGAGACTGAATCTTCAACAAGTCCACAGCAAAACAAAAGATCAGCTCCTTCCGTAGACACAAGGTAGACGTTAATGCCATGTCTCAATATCGTGTGGGTTTGCCACAGTTGCATGCGGTGTCTACTCAGACACGCAGCCATTCAAGAACACGCACAGTTTCGCCATGAGTTTAGCTTTGAGTCAACTGAAACCCTGGACACGGAACACCATAGTATTCTAGACGGTATGTACCGGAAATGCGATAGGGAACCACACGTGTCTGAGAAACCCCGGGCGAATTTATCACGAACTCTTTCCTGGCATCAAGTGATCGGCTGCAAAAATCGCTCTAGGGCAAAATGTTAATTCAAGGTGGTAAGTTTGATGGTGAAAGTCGACCAACAAACATACGTGCCACGTGAATGATTGAGAATACCTATCACGTCTTGACACCATTATCACTCCATCTACATGTAAATACAATGTGGTACTATTTCATTCATCTTGGGCACCCTGTAAGAAGAAGACCTTAGGGTCTGTTGGGAATGCCGAAGTAAAATAATAAAATACAATACAATACAATACAACTATTTTCATTCAACCTTCGGTATGGCTCCTCACAGCAAAGCAACTACACGTACAATGCATAGTATCATCCATGCAGGATTAAAGATTTGATACAATGAAATACAGATGTAACAAATTAGGGATTTTCTCTATTTTTTTTAGTACACCATGGCGGAGTTGGACTACGGTAATGTGTACGCAACGTGAGCCGATCTGCCCTGCACAGACTTCACTGCACTTTTGCTGTGAAAGACTCAGTCTTGAGTGCAAGTCTACAGTTTTAGGGATACACTTTGGTGGTTGATTTACAGCAGACAGGATATAGCCCGCGACGTTTATGTGTCTGGGTAAATTACAAAACTCGACACAGCTACATGTACATGTACATGTACATGTACATGTAGCTGACCTGAGAGTTAGAACGGGCACAATAGCCATCACACTATCCCTGCGTTGCCCAGCAGAAGAGATAGTGAACGGAAACGTGCTGGGACTTTAGCCTATTGTCGTGCAACTTCGCACAGAGACTACGATCTTCCTTTTCAGGATCACGATTGTGTTACATCACGTACCATGCGACAGGCGAGATAAGGTTCATCCTCTCTGTGTCCGACTCACAGCTAGCTGTATACGACTGGGTTGGACAGTGTCGCGGCATGCGAAAAGGCGATATGAAGCAATCAATCTTGAGATGGTCCTTGACGAGAGAGTTTACGATTGTGTTTGCATACTGGCTGCAGAAGGTAAACCCAAAAATGGTCTCGTTTCGTGACATTGCGTCTCTCGCAGCTCGAGTGGCTGGAGTGACTCGTCTCTGTGTTTAAGGTGAGTAATTTATGGGGCACTTGATGTAGTACTGCGATGCATACGCTCAGCGACTGTCGTTTGATGCTTAACGCTTAGATCGCGAAAGAGGAGTGTGTCAGCAGCCTTGCGCTTGTTGTCTGCCGTGCGATGTGGGTGGACATATGCCAGTGGAGCGCTGGAAACGCTCAGGAAAATCACAAACGTAGCAGCACAGGTGCAGTCGAGGAAGTAATGTTAGTTATCCAGTAGCAAGCTGTCCTTTGCCAGAGCGGCTTTCTTCGTCCAAGTTCCCGAGTCCGACCAGTACACCGCCACTCAGTTGCTGGGAATCTAATAATATCATTAATGTAATGGCAATCGGCGCCTACAACATCCATTTCTATTCACCTTGTTGAAACGCGGTGGGTTGCTGTTTTCTTTCTCTCAGTCGCAGCGACAATCGGACACTGTAGCCTCAACTAATCGGTCTCTGAGCTGTGAACGACGCAACGACTGACTCCTCTACTCGCAGATCTACTAGTGTAAGCGACCATGTGGTCCCTGCTGCTAAGTTCGGTGATCCTTGGTCTTGGACTCCAAGGTAACTTCTTTCTGGAATTCCTGTTGAGGATTATTTTTGTGTCTGTAGTTCAATATATTTGAAGGAAGTAGAGTTATGAAAGTATCGCTGGGTACTTATAGCGTGGTGTAAGACTATGATGGGATTTTTTGAGGAACCATGCAGTTGAGGATTTTCTTCCATTAGTCAGAATGCTTCCGTTTCACTGCTCATGCAAAAATAAGAGTCGTCTCGTCGCACGTGGTATTACAAACCGAAAGGCTCATGAGCTACCAAGACTGGATTATTCGTCGCATGGATAAGACCTGTTGCATAATGTCCTACCTAACTCCAAAACTAATTCTGTTGATGATTTCATGTTGAATTATGGGACTCAATTCTACACTGATTACGAGTACTTAAAAGTAGTCCTTTAAAGTTAACTGCGTTGCGCTGTTATTTCTCCCATGTGGTAACGGCAAGCACTACTAGAGTCCTGACTAGTATTTCCCTTTCCTTGGTTTTCTGCAGTCGGAGCCTGGAACTCGTGCCCGTCGCTGGGGCGTGAGATGAGACTGTATCCTTCCCGGAAGGGTTGGCTGGAAGCGGAACGTCAGTGCCAGATGGATGGTGGTCACTTGGCAACAATACGAACGGAAGAAGATCGGCTGTGTGCGGTGCATGCCATCGAACAGTCGAACCAGTGCTCCACGCACTCGTGTGGCAGGATATGGACCGGGTTGAACAGCCTGAACGACCAGGACAGCTGGCATTGGGTAGGGGCGGACAACGCTGGGCAAGAGGCCACCCCAGGTCAGGGGATCTGGGCGAAGGGCGAGCCGGACAACCCTGGCAGTCAGCAGTGTGCCAACTGGAATCCTGAGTTCGGTGTGGGCGATGATTACTGCAGCATTGCTGAAATGTTCATTTGCCAGCGAACGAGTAAGTTGTGAGCTGTGTCTTTCTATATCGCTCTTACTCAAATCAGATGGTAGTGTGTTGGTGGATTTCATCTTAGGTATCTGGGTGGGAGGTAAACTATTAAAAGACTCCATTGTAGTCACGTCATCTTGCGGACAAAATCAATAGAACATAACCCATAATGGTATTTTGCAAAATATAGAAACAGCTATAAAAATCTGTTCGCCTGAGACTTCCGAAGTAATGCAGGTAGCGTATCCGAATCTGCCGTCGTTAATTACCATCCTGCTCATCATGGTGATGCAAATTTGCCGCATGTTTCACAGTTGTCCTCTATCTGTTTTCAAGTTTAAATGTTCGCTTTTTATGCAGTCACAATGACCGTCTGCCTACTACAGTAAACATTTAATGTTAATTACATGCCCCTCCAGAACCAAAATAAAGTGTTTTGCATCATTTTGGAATAATCGTAGCGACCTCCATGCTGTAACACCGCAAATGACTTAGAAAAAGACCTGTGCATCAATCAACAAACTCATCCATCACAGTTGTGCTTGAATATAGAAATTGTCTCAAAACAATGAATTAAGCTTTCAAATGTGCTCTGCTCAACACTCCGCAAGAATACATAAACAACCCTTTCGAATCTGGAGGATCATAAAATGGTGGTGCTTAACTATTGATTTCATACTACCCACATTTTCTCCTTGTTCCAGAAACAAACAACGCATTCAAATGTCAGGGACAGCAATGGACGTATCATCCATTGGGCTTCGATCATGCATATGCCCAAGCCGTATGCGCCCAATGGCAAGGAACCCTCGCACCACTGGACAGAAACTGCCTGAGTGATTTCTTCGACAGGTCTTTTATGTCAAGCGCGTCTGAAATGACGACATGGATAGGCTGCCTGTATGACACACCAGGCGTTACGTTTGCCTGCACAGTGATGGCACAACCGGACTATTCATTAAACGTCACGGATGTTAATGTTGCCACACATCCAAAGCCGTTCATCTGTGCGGGGCGGATCGGAGGTTGGTTGAAATGTGATAAATGCTCTAGCAGTATGCTTGCAATAGGTTTGCTGCAGCGCGTAAACGCATTGGGGAAAATGCTTCCCCTGAAGGGTTCTGTTTCTCCCCGGTAGGTTTTACATGTAGTTTTACTTGAGTAGTGCTTCTACTAAGTATTTGCATTGTCCCTTTTCACTTCCCTTTCGTCTCATCCACCCTTCCAGGAAACTCCCCCGATAAGAACCCTTCGAATAAAGTCCAACTCAAAAATATTTTGATTCTGAATACACTATGCTTGCTTTTTCAGGAATCCAACCAACTAATGTACTGAATTGCGAATTGCCATTTAAAAATCACAAACGCAACTGGTCTCTTTGCTGAAAGCCTGCTCCATTTACGATTTCACCATCGCCGGTGCATGGCAATATACTACTATTTTCGGAGGGCACAAGCCCTTAATTTCCGTACAATGTTTGGCTGAGTTCATCTTTGGACATAAAGACGGACATGCTAATAATATTATCTTGTTTCCATTCTCCCATGTGCAGATATTTCTACGTTACCAGGACGGACGCCTCCACCTGCAGTATTTTCAGGTTTCTCCACGACACCATCACGCTCAAATGTAGGACCAGCAACAACAGTACGATCGACCATGACATCTGACAGTAACGAACAGCCACAATTGTCCGGAGGTGGAGGTGAGTGTTCGGATCGCTAATGAAATTTCTATGACCAGATTACGTTTTGCAGCTAATCTAAAAGAAACTTTTTATCATGGCAATCCAAACCTGCAACCGAATTTTGTTTTCCCTGGGTAAACTACTATCATGCAGTATTCTGTGCTCGAGGTTCGTGGTTCGTGGTTTCTCATAAAAATCCAAAAACAAACAAACCTTGCATTCTGAGGGCGTTCGCATCGTCGTCTTCAACTTTTCGAGAACTATCTTACAAACCAGATTGGTTGAAGTATCCTAATAGAACTGAGGAAGTCAGCTTCGCTGTGTCTCCAGAATCGTCGTAGTCACATCTGGCTGTGGCCAACTACCCTTCAATTGGCGTGTTTTCAACTTGTTTTACTCAAAGTCCCACATTTAAGTGAATAACAGCAAGAAGGTACAAGAGAAGAGCTAGAGAGAAAAGGGAAACCAAGGAGGAGTCCAGGTAGAACAAGAAACGTCACTTGAAAGATTAGAACATTGAAGGGATCAGTCACGCAATACGGTTAATTCCCATCGTCGATCGGATAATTATTGGCGTGTTGTCTGTATTACCGTCTATGTCTCTGTGTATGCCAGTAAATGTGGTACGAGAAGCATAAATCTTTTACTTGCATCACCCATTAAATCCTCTCTCTCTCTCTTTGGCTATGCATGTTGTTTGTGCAGTTGGCAATGCGGGAATCGTGGTGGCATGCGGCTTCATAGGTGCCACAATCGCGTTCGTGGTAGTTGGAGTGATTATCTACTATCGCAGGAAGCAGCGGAAGCGAGCCCTAGGACCCGTTCGGAAGATGGAAGATAATGCAATCTACGAGCGCGGCCCTGGGCCACTGCAGCGCCAGTCGTCGGTGAAGACGACCAAGAGAAACCATCTCACTCTGACCCTGCAAGTTAGTAAAGAGAGGACGACGACCCATACGGAGTTGAGCGGACCGGCGTCTGAGTACATGAGTGTGCCGTATGCCACCTCTCCGCTGTCGTGTGTTGTGGCGCAGCAGCGTGATGACGACTCGCAGCCTTATGGCGTTCGTAAAATCGGCATCCCGCCGCCTGGCAACGAGCGACCCAAGCTAGATATGCCACACGAGTACGCTGAACCTCTGTCATGCAACCCAGCGTACAAGGCCCCAACATTTGTACCTCAGAGTCAACTCAACGAGTACTCATATGATGTTCCCAGTGAAGCATAGGGGAAACATTTATTCACGTTGACGCCTGGAGTTTTAAATAGAAGATTTTACTTGATTTCGGGAGGAATGTTTGTTCTTAACTGGATCGTATTTGTTCAGAAAGCATTGAATAAATCCCGCGCTTCCACTGAACCTAGCTGACGGAATATCAGGGAGCACTTCCTGCGGGTGTTTTAGGCTAGCCAAATGATAATACATGTTCAGCGAACCATTGTCACTTATTTTCACTGATCTGCCTTGATCTCATCTTGATCTCATCTTGATCACAATCTGCTGCTACATGTATGTAAGTGATACGCGCATGTTAGCAAAAGGATATTCCTGTAAGTAATCCCGTAGTCGGCAATAAACAGACACAAGCAGTGTCATTGATTTGCCTCGCTATTTTTTTTTCTTTTCTTGAGCGCATTGAAGGGTCATGCGTGTACTTTTGAAACTCTGTTCGCATCATGTGGATGTGCCTACTACGTAAGGTCTCTTGATGTTGTTGTTGTTCGTTGTTGATGTTGTTGTTCTCTTCCATTCTATGTAGGCATGTGCACTTTCAAATAAATAAAAAAGGTATGAATAATGAATCGACAATGGATCTTGAACATCACCGTCCATGAGCTTGTACCACGCTATCCCCACTGCCATTGGACTCTGCATGCAGTTAGGCACACCAATACTTTATTCATATGCATGATCTGATGAAGCCTCTTTTTTATTCTTGTCTCTTATTCATGAGGCTTACCTATGGGGGGGGGGCGGGGGGGGGGCGGAGACCCCCTCGACTTAGGCCTCGGCCTTTGGGGAATCCATAAATAAATAAAATATAAATAAAATAAAAATTTGGTTTCTGAGGATTCATTCTCAAACTTGGTGAGCGATGCAGTATCCCGAAAATCTGCACCCCCCCCCCCCCCCCCCCACACACACACACACACACACACACACATAGCAAGAATGATGGCTACATTTACTGGTGAGGGAGGTCATGCAAGCCAGCTCAGCTCAACCCGGTTCGCTCTGAAAAGGGTCGAATTTTTTTTAATGGTTGTGATGCTCGTAAACCAACACATCTTGCTACGATACTACTTTCAAAACATCACACGTCTCTGCACATGTCCTCTGGGATTGAACTTTGTTTTGACAACAAAACGTGAAAATGTAAAATGGGAGTTTGGGTCTAAGGGTTGCTTCAAAGGTCTGTACTTGCACATGTGTAAGAGAATTTTATGAAGTCTTAGTTGTACTCGATACACTTGAAATACCAAGGGGAGAAAAAGGCAAAATCTTGAACTAGTTACGCATGTTAGCAATTGACTGAGGTACTTGCCGTTACCCCGAGTTTCATTGCAATTTGGCCAATATTCGGACCTGACAAATCGAGCACTTTTGCAAGTAATCGGGCAGGCTATTAAACTCAGTTAATAATGTCATGAGACGATTACGCGGATCACAATGATCCTGAATTATGTAATGATATGATTCGTGCAACTGCATAGAGTTCAGAGCATCGAATGAGCTCCAAAGAAAGAATTATGCGCATATATGGGGAAATTAGGTTATGATAGGCCTGACTTTCATTTCGAAAAAGGTCAACCCCGTGACGCTCGGTGAAAATCGCGTGTCCCATTCGGCGTGTGGCAACACGTAGTAGCAATTGACGTACCACCATGCTGCCTTGTAGCGCGCCGCGCAGTTGTCTCCAGACACATCGTTATCCCGGTCCCGGGTGGAGAATGGCACAGTATGATGGTCCAGGCCTTGTCCGGCGGGAACCGGGAACGAGAACTCCACTGGCCGGCTGATGGAGAGTTGATACTTGCCGTTCTCATCCGCAAGTCTCATCCACCTGTACTTGATGAAGTGTTTAGCGTTTCGTGTGGCGAGATCTATGCGCACTTCATACTGCTGGCTATGGGTCAGAACATGCATATTGTCGTTGCCCAGCCAGAATTCATCCCCAGGATAGCCAAAGCCGGCCTTGTACGCAGCCCAGTCGCGGTTCCAGAAGGTGGCGTGCCGTCCGAAAGATCTAATGATCACTGTCCATCCTCCGCCATCGATCGACATGTTGCAGAGGGCTTGGAACGACGTATTGCCAATGGTGTGCGTGACGATCCGTGACCTGCTTTCATCTGCGCTCTGCGGTAGACACTGGCTAGATTCTGCACGGCACAATGGCAGAGAGATGGAGGCACTGCGAATCAGAACAGGTTTCAACTGACAAACATTACATCAGCCCACGGGCTCAGCAGTACATAAATGTAGTGCTCTTACTAGCTAACATGAACACGGCCCAACCTATATGAAATATCTGGTAGTATGCAATCTTTTCGTCTTGATGACCAGTTTCTTGCACCTTTTCTTAAAATAATTGATAGTGCATCATGCTGGAAACAAACTCTGCATTTAACACATGCAGTATAGGCCCTTACCTGGTTGTGCAGGATTCCCACCCAGTCCTGCAGCCAAAGCCTTGATCTTCTCTCCCTGGATGTACACAGAGCAATCCGTTCATACAGGACACAACATGCACGTGTTCATCCCTGATCCGAACACGATTATTTTCTCCAGCAGGACCGAATAGAGAAAGCAACTTGTATCAAAAGGGGCTAAGGAAATCATGACTAGTTTAGGCCATATTCTGGCGTTGACAGTTAGAGTTCCTTTACAATAATCGTCTGGTTGACTTCGCTGTGTTTGCGCTAAAGGCTGCGCAACACGATGTTTTCTCACAGCATACCGAAACAAGCACAACATTTATTAGTAGTATAAAAGTGAGCACCCGCGAAATAGATCTCTGGATCCAATTTGTTGCAGTCAACTTGCGACGAACTGCGTTAACACCCGGCCTCAGCGGCACATTGAAGATTTCCAAGCTGTAAAACTTACAGTTAATGAAACATTCAGGGCGATGGCGTCCAGCCGCTGGTCGATTTTCTTCGCAAGGCGGCGCTCCATGCCTTTAAGGAATATCTCTGTCCTTTGCCAGTCCTTGTCGGCTTTCATTTTTATCGCCGTCTGGATTGCAGTGATGTCATTTTCAAGGCCCATCACACTACCAACCAAGGACATGTGATCGGTCTTAGACACCCATAGATCTGGAACAGATGATACATACACAAAGAACTGGATTATAATACAGGCGTGAGATATCATTCTCAGCAATAACTTGTCTTAAGTCACATACATGTACATGTGCGTCTGTAAATCAATCAAATGAAGTAATGCTTGCGTGAAGAGATCACGTTTTAGTCATGATTCGAGGGCGTCAATCACTGAATGAGGTGAGAACCCGTGGCTATTTCCTGCGAAAGCAACGGCGATAGCATGGCACATTTACAATCGCCGCACACGGCCACAAAATACACAGCATGTGTCTTTTGTCCCAGATTTCGCGGAAAGTACATCGTCGAGAAATGCAATCCGGCCTCAGGATCATAATGCAGAGCACGATTTACTGCACAAGCCAGTGGCCATACTGCTAGAGCCGCATAGCATCAAAGCTGTTGACTTATGTTGTCGGACTTCATCTGCGATCACTATAGAATCGGGGGGGGGGGGTTGGCTGATTGGGGGATTTGGCGGTTGTGCATAGACTCTATACCCAGCCAGGATAAGAGGAACGCAGGGGCACACGGTAATCATGGTGAGAATTGAATTCTAAGGCATACAGGTATACACACGCATACACACATATACACATACAAACTGACGCATACGCAAGCACAAACGAAAATTGACACACGCACATAAATATGCATGAAATCACACTCACGCACACAACATTAATTTTCTTGTAGTGCGTACATGACTATGATTCAAAGTTCAACATTCATTACATTGTACTCACGTTCGGTGCAATGCTGTCCGCCCCACAGGGCTGGGCAAGAGCAGCGATATGTTCCGGAAGGTTGCTCCAAACACCGGCCGCCATTACGGCAAGGTCTCCTTGCGCAGGTTAGAACCTCTAAGAACAAAGCCAAAGGAATAAGACGCCGAACCTCTCTTTGTTATGCCCGACAACTAGCACACCAACACGTTGCATTACAGATGGATCATGTAATGCTTAGACCGCTTATGGGGCATTGAAGGTATGCTGAATTCAACATCTTTCTGTTTTAGCTGCTGACAGCTGGAACTCAGTTCCGGCATCGATCCGCCTTGCTGCTTCACCAAGTCAATTTCGTATCGCAATCCTAGATTGGCTAGGGTACCCCGTAAAGAGACCATAGGTCTGTGGGGACTGCCCTAGAGAAATAAGAATAAATCCTATACTATTATTATCTGATCAGTGCCACTTCAGAAATAGATTTTTGATTTGGAAACTACATGTCAGGATCTGCTTCCGAAGCCTATGACCAGTAGTCGCTGGTGCTGGAATTCCCAGTAAAACCTGGTATAAGCGATCTCTGTGTTTAACGACCACCTGCTATTACCGACCAATTTTGCATGCATCGACAGTTCTAAACAGACACGGTGGGACCTGGTTCTAAAGACCACCTGTCTTGAACGACCGTTTTTGCTTGCACCGTAGGGTGGTCGCTTATACCAGGTTTTGCTGTATCTGGTGCCGGAATGTCAAAGGTACTCTGGTTAGTGCTTACCTCGCTCGCAAAACCTGCCAGTGTAACCAGGCGTGCATTTGCACATATACTCCCTATAACCCGTGTTGCCAACGGTTCCATACACGCATTGTCCGTGATCCCCACAGGGTGCTTCACTACGACATCTTTCCTGCAGGCGACCTGATAGCAAGAGGATGATTAGACAGAGTGCATTATAAGTCAACACCACGCATCGCATCACATAATATAAGATCAGGCAAGTGTTGTCGCCCCCGTCACAATTGTTTCACCAACATCGAAGACTGGATCAATGACTCTTACAATTCTCTCTCTCTCTCTCTCGTTGCTGCTGATCGTGATAGGTATAGACAGCTTGTTTATCGGTGTAGTTAATGTTTTGGTTTTTTATTTATTTATCTTCCTTTTTTCTGTTCGTAATGATGCTGCTGCTTTATGACACACATGGCGCCCCTACGACCAGACCGGTTATGGGTTATACAATACATACAGTGTAAAACAGAGAGATTCCAGGCTGTCCACGAGAGTGCTCAATACCAAGAGGCAGGGCTGGTTCAATCGAAAAGAGGACTGTTTTCTGATAATCGTTTAGTGCGTGAAACGCAGAGTTAAAACACTTTCCTCTTATCGTTTGAACATACAGTGAACACACGTGTACATACAGTTGTCGATCAGCACCATATTGGGATGAAACGTACCGTTAGTACCACTTTTTTGATTTGAATCATATTATCTTCCTTATTGGCCATGGGCAATCGTGGAAATAAAGAATAATAATAAACTGGTGCTCTCGAGAATGGTGTCCTGCCAGCAAATGGACCATAGAAGTAACACTGCAAACCGTACGAGTTGGACAGCTTCAGTTCGCGCTATGGGTCGTGCAGTTTTCACCTGCCTGTCACAATACCCAGGACTAATAAGTGCATGATTACGGTGCAAAAGAATCAAGAGATTGACTCATAGACGCTGTTGTGAACTAATCACAGAACAACATGCCTACACAGAGCAACATGCCTATATTCTAGTCTCCGATCCGGCTACGTACCAATACAGCGAATAAAGTTCTCAGACTTCGATGCTCCGCCGAAGACGAAAGAATAGAGGACCGGTCTCTGCCTGTGCGCATTCACTTCATCGATCGGAGTAGCATAGCTGGCGAGAACTTCTGCCTTCACTTGAGCATCAGAGAAGGTCAATGTGGAATCGTGAAGCCGAAGCCAGGACTCCATACAAGTACCTGGCGAGAAACAAAGGAAGAACTCGACACGCTCGGATATGCATAGTGACATTATGACATTAGCCTGTATTAACAAGCATGTATCTCCCTTCTTCCCATTGTATCATCACTGTGCGGTGTGGATTTACCGCCATATTGCCAGGTGCGTGTTTACCACCATAATTATTATGAATAGAATACTCAGGAAGCTTGGAAAAAAGAACAAAAAACAAAAATATCTATGCATAGTGTTACTGTGCTGTACATAGACAAAACGTGAGGTCGTATTGCACACATACATTAGACGTTTATGCCAAGGGAAAAACGTCGCGCATGCTCTGGCGGTTTGTTGCAAGACAGCGTACGACCGCACAGGCGCAAATCGTATTTATGTTTGTACTACAAAGCACCGGCCAGCAACATAAAAGGGGAGGTAGACAAAATTGGACAAGCGAACATTGACAACACAGGGTCAGAGGAGCCTGGCATGCATGCCGATGAGGTAGGTCAACCTCCCCCGACCTAGTGGTCTAGGGTTCATCAGTTGGTCTACGCATCAGGAAGGGGAGATTGGCAGTTAGGCGCTTTTATAGTTTAGGGAGGGCTATAGAACGATGTGGCGAGTGTGCTGCGGAGTTCTCCATTACTTTGACATTGCTGCAGATATAGTACTTCGAAGTAATACCACTGCCACGACTACATGTGCATGTATGTCGGACCAGGACCGTTTCACACGTACATTTTTTATAACTGCATGCACTTTGTATTGCATGACAACAGTCCTTCCTCTTCGTACTTCCCGGCATAAGATGCTAATCCACTGAATCTGCTATTGTAGTTGATCTCCGGTGGGGGCTATGCTCGCTGCAGGATGATTAAATTGTGTTCATGCAAACAAGCTGTTATTCCGTTTCGGACCGGTTCATCTCCATCTCTCCCCACCGATATCGAATTATGTCCCAGGCTCGACACCCGTTCCTATTCTTCGCATGCACAGTATCGGTGGTCTTACCATTGGCTGCAGGCGCTTGTGTATCGGGAATGACACTGCGCATAGGACGCAAAACGGCACCTCGAACTGGCGCTGAAGCAATTCCGATCACTATTAGAGCGAGTAGAACCAGTTCCAATCTTGCCATGATTGTCCTCAGCAGTTGTGTTCAAGGCGCCCAGATTGGTAAAGCGCTCAGCAGTGTCTAACAACTAAATAATAGGTTGGTAAGAAGGGTATCCTTCCTTTCGGTCTGTTCACGCCGAATGGATGGCTACGGACTGCGCACTCTCTTTTTCATTCACGGATCTGTGCGCACCTTCCCGATCTGCAGGCCATTCATTTTCTCTACCGTAGACCTCATTCGCGTTGTGATTTCGTGCACAAGAGAAGTGTCAACTCTACTAAAGACTGTGCCTCTAGCGCTGGGGATAACGGTGAAATCGCGTGCAGTGTCTTTAGGTTTCCGCAGTCAACAGCCGCTCCCAGTTGACACCTGTAGTATCAGTTGACGGGTGCACGTTCATTTGTCTGCCCCGGGGGAGCTCCGTGAAAGGCGTGAAGTTCTCTCGTTCTCGTAGCAGGTCTAATGTGCTGAATGCATCACTGAATACACTGCATTAATATTATTCTCAATTCATGGGAACTTGGTGTCAACCAATATAATGAATGAGGGCTACCAGCCAGGGAATACAAAGAACTAGAAGGCAAAATGCACACGCAAAATATGGAAAGTTAAAATAAAAAATAAAAATAAAACAAACCACAACCAAGATCAATTGTAAAGTTCAAAAAATGTGATGTACGTTGGAGATTGAAGTAATACACACCGAAAATGAATATCAACGATTAGTTCCTCTTGTCTCATTTCTTACCTTCTCTTTCTCTCTTTCCCTTTTTCTCATCACCCTTGTGCATAAATTCTTCGCTAAATGCATCACCTAGTTGTAATGGTTGCCACCCTTGGGGTCTTGCTTTCCCCTTTGTTTCATTGGTTCTGGTTGCTTGTATTTTATTTTGAAGAGAATGCCCAAAAACTGGTTGATGAATTTCCGATTTCCTATTGCTGATGATGGTGAAGAATAACTTGAGATTAGTATGGTGAAAAAGGAGGAGGAAAAAATGCTACGAGTTATGACTAACTGTCCACCAACGTAACCATATCTTTTACGGTCAGCGAGGTCTCCGAATGTCTCAGTACTCCTTGTCAGTTTTGTGCCATTTTGGCGCACTCGCTGACCGCATAAGATCTGGTTACGTTGGTGGACGCTTGAAAAATGATTGACAGCGGTTGAGTTTGATGATGTTTCTTCACTGCCGACGAATTTTCACAGAAGGAGTCTACTAATTTGTCGTAACCTGCCTGCTCTGGTGAAGCGGAGATACATGTAGACTACGACGGCGGGCAAGATCAACAGCCGGCTTGAGACAGGTATTGAAATTGTTCCTGATTTTCCTAGTCTCGTAGGTCATGTCACGACAGATAGAACTGGTGCCAGTACATGTGTAATACTTGGCAGTTTGTGTTACACTAAAGTGCAAAGTTATCGCATTTGTTCCTTTCGACATGTACATGTACTTGTAGCTTCAAGGACATTGTTCAATATTTTCCAACTCCGGGTCTGCGAAAAGAACATGTTATTGTAGTCTTTGTTGGACTGTTTCTGTAGACATGAACATGCTATTGTAGTTCGGGTATCAATTCCCCTTTTTGATATCAATATTTCTCGTAGTGAACGCAGACCGAACAAGCTTGTTTTCAACTCTCATGGGAAATTTTCATCTTCCCTTTTCTTACATAAAATCGGCAACTTATGGAATTGCCTTCCACCTAAGGTTACCGCTATAGATTCTGTTTCACAGGCGTGAAACCCTGAGTCACAGCCAACCCAAGCTCAGTATCCTATTCTATTCTTTTTATTTTTTTGTTTTTTTAGATTCTGTTTCAGAATTTCGGACACAATTTCGCGCTCATTATAAACGGCATAAATTTGCCTGTACAAGTAGCTTCACTAGTATATAAATCAATGATCCTTTTCACTGTTAGGAGATCCCCCCGATAGGCTATGCCTTTGGGAAATCTTTTAAATAATAAATATTCAAATATTCAATTGTTTAGAGAGGTTAAGTTACAGGTTTTTGCCCATTTTCAAAACGCGGTGCAGATCTCACGTTACGTGTAATTTTTAGAGGTTAAGTAAGGACGCAACCACACTACGTAAAATCACAGTACAAACTGTCATCAAGAGTATGTACTCTTGCTGTCATGCATACATGTATCTCAGTTCAAGTCGGTACGCAACCACACTACACGTTTCGGTTTGCATAGATGACGTTTTCGCGCGATCGCCGATCAGCACGTGACGTTGTCGTACCAAACCGTGTGCTATGCGCTGGAAAAGACCGAGAAATCCAGGGAGTCGTAAAATACCGGGAGGCGACACGCCACACATTTCACCATCCGAGGATTGCCGCACTCGACCCGCGAAATTTGAAGCGTGATTGAAACGTCGTCGTCATCTTCTTTTTCTCAATTGTTTTTGCTATATGCTTCGAGGCTATTCTGGATCTCCAGAGCGAAAGCTGGTTGTTTCTGATACGTACCACGCATTACCTTAGGTTGAGCCGTGGCTTTTAATTTTTTTTTGGAAGTTCACTGCTTTGGAGACGACGGAATGTCAAGGTAAGTTATTCACGAAATGTACTCAAATTTGAATTGAGTCAATGCGAATGACACCCTGTTTTCGGACTAGTTCTCCACTAAACACACCATGCCCATGGCCCCTTCATGTTGTCCAAGTTCCATTCTAGGTTTGTGTGAAGTTTCGAGATGAAGTTCGACGATGTACTCACCTTTCCATGGAAGGGAAAAAAAGTAGCATATCAAACAGAATCCATGCAGTATTTGATGCCACTATCCTCATTCTTCTGCATTCAAAGTGTTTCACATCTATATGGCCCATGAACTGCAAACAATATTTGTCATTTCTTAACTGTTCATAGCTGTTCATAACTGTTCTGAACACATTGCCTTCAGGAAACGTAAGGCCGAGTCGCCTCACCGACTGAGCAAAGTTCTCTGCGACGAAAGTCACACTATCGGCGAATGCACTCAAGGTGAATACCCGTCAATATCCTGTATACTGCTTGTACCGCTTATCACAGTAGCATACACACAAGCACACATACATACACACACACACACACACACACACACACACACACACACACACACACACACACACACACACACATGCTCGTGCACACACAAACGCAAAATTCACATATCACTGGTTCAGTTGTTTTTATCTGTGTCGTATTTTGTCTTATACAGAGCTTCCGAGCCACGCCGAGTCACCTGACCAACTGAAGAAGGTTCTGTGCGACGAAAGTCACACTATCGGCGAATGCACGCAAAGTGAATACCCTGTGGACTGCTTATACCACTTATCACAGAAGCACACACACACACACACACACACACACACACACACACACACACACACACACACACACACACACACACACACACACATACACATATCACTGGTTCAGTTGTTTTTATCTGTCTTCTTTTGTCTTATACAGAGCTTCCGACCCAGACCAAGTCACATGACCGACTGAGCAAAGTTCTGTGCAACGAAAGTCACACTATCGGCGAATGCACTCAAGGTGAATACCCGTCAATATCCTGTATACTGCTTGTACCGCTTATCACAGTATCATACACACACAGTATGCGCACGTGCACTGCAGAGCATGTAGTTGAGTTATTAATACTCAGTCAGAACATCAAGAGAATCCATGAAATGCCTGCAGAAAAACAAACAAACAAGGGAAAGCAATTTATTGGAACGCTATGAGAACCACCCCACACCCCAAGTTATTGCACATAGCCAGTCGTATCTGCCCGTAGTAATGGTCAGACTTGTGCAAAGGCTACAGGGTTTGATGCACCCTGTGCAAATTCGAACAGGTGAATGCCATAACAAAAATAATCGTATCACCAATGTTCACTTTTTGTTGTATTTTGTCTTATACAGAGCTTACAACCCACGAGGAGAGAGCGGAGAAATGCTCGGCCCCTGGCAATGACTCGAACGCAACAACTGGGGCACCACTGTCTTGGCGTGGTTCAGTACCACCCTCAGTCCGCGAAATCCTGGTCTACGCGGTCCTGGTCTACAGTGATAGTCAGGAACCGTATAGAGCTCGGCTTCCGTCCAGCAAGCTCTACTCCTCTGCTGTGATGGTCGCCAACCAGTTCCTCCAGTCGAGGGAACAAATTAGTGCCATTCAGCTATCGAATTATTTCAACCGAATCAAGAAGCCTGGGAACTACGGAAAATATCTTGGACGCCTGCGGACAACACGCTTCCGCACCATCATATCGTCCGTCGTGGAATCGTGCAACACGCAGTTTCGGAAGGCAGACAGCAAGTCTCTAGATGGCGGCGAGGTGTTGGAGGTGAGGAAAGTCGTTGAGGGTGCTATCAGCCAGTGGGCCTCACCACCCACACCCCCCACACCCTCCACATCACCTACACCTGCTGCCATGGACTTCAATGGCATTGCGGCGCGCATCAACAGCATGGCACGCTGGAAGGCAATTGAAGACGATGACCTAAAGGCACACTATTTTAGCCCAAGGCCTGGCTGTCCCCAGCTAACTGTACTGGTGAAGAGAGACTTCACATTCCAAGTGTTGATGCAAAGTAAGATCGTTGACATGACCAGCATATGTAAGCCTCCGGAAAAGCTTCTCACCTGTGAAGATATAGAGACCGTCGTGTTAGCCATCGAGAGAGCCGATAATTGCCAGGGCTGCAGATACGACAAATACAAAGATTGGATTGAAAACCGGCTCGATGGTGGAACGTTCAAGAATTCGTCTGGTGCGGTAGTTGGAAAACTCGAAACATGTGAACCAACACCATGCATACGAACAGTAGCATGTCCTATACTCGTACCTGCTGGTACTAGTTCCGTTTGCGCTGCTTGTAAAGCTTTGGATGGTACCCTGAGAAGAGGCTTGTCCAGATTTAAAACCCGAGGCACTGAAACAAGCCCACATACCGCCTTCATCCATCTACCCCAAGCCAAGCTTGTTGACATGCTACGTGAGAGGCGGGACAAGACTAGCCTCGTGACCAGACGATTGGAGCGCCTTGTTGCCTCCAGAGAGAGAATGGAGACTACAAAGCACAATGAGGAGTATGCATCCATATTTCGCCAACTAGAACCAGCCATGAATGCAGTGCGTGAGCGTGTTGAGAACCCAACTTGCAAGTGGGCAACTTGCAGAGAAACCTTTTCAACTATAGATGACCTGCAAGTTCATATCCATTTCACTCACCTGAATATCGAGGAGACCTCAACACAACGTCAGCCCCTCTACAAATGCCGCTGGGAATCCTGCAAACACACCGAATTCAAAAACAGGCAGGAATTCAAGTCTCACATCACAAGGCACACTGGACGACAGGAGGATTCGTTCTTTGCCATTCTTCTAGCTGACCAGGCAAAAGCATTATCAACATCACCCGAGCAGATGCGTTGGCATCCAGCTGTACTACGGTGGTGCCTTCAGCAACATTCCCGGTCGCAAAGAACTTATGAAGTGCTGAGGAACAGCGGGTTTCTGCGTCTGCCAAGTGGGCGAACACTATTGCGTTATTGCAATTACACACAGCCAGAAACAGGCTGGAAGCCAGCAAAGATGGCAGAAATGCGTCAACTATATGAGAAATTTATCGAAAGTAAACGTGGCAAGGGTGATCGAAGTTTCATCGGCGGCCTCTACTTCGACGAAATAAAAATCAAGGAGGGACTCGTCTGGGACTGTGGCACTAATGATCTAATCGGCTTTGTGGACAGCGAGGAACCAGTTGTTGACAGCAATGATAAACTGGTCGCAACACATATTATGCAGTTCCACTTCAAGTCCCTTTTCTCTAATTTTAATTTCCCCTGTGCATACTTCAATACGAACTCACCCACCTCCAGTTCCATAAACGACATGTTCTGGACTGGCGTGGAGCAGCTCCACAGTTATGGATTCCGGGTACAAGTGTGTTGCTGCGACGGTGCGGCCAGCAATAGAAAGTTCATGATGGACAACCAGGCACTTAATAGTGAAAACCCTGGCTCCACCCTCAACCCGTACGGAAACTGGCCACTCTTTTTCCTGTCAGACCCGACCCACCTCATTAAAAAGATGAGGAACAATTTCTCAAAGAGCGGATACGAGTCATGGTGCACACGCCTCCTAACCATTAACAACAAGCCTATACTGTGGAGCCACATTAAGCAGGTACTCAAGCGGGATCAGGGGAGAATGGTCCAATGCACACCCTTGAGGGAGCAACATGTTCAACTGACGTCCTTTTCTAGGATGAGTAGCCGGCTGGCGTACGACGTATTTAACAAAAGAGTGGAAGAGGACATGCAGGACAACCAGCAACAAGACACAATCTCTACCAGGGAGTTCATGCGTAATGTTAGGGCACTGGGTGATGTGTTTTCGTCCCATGAGAAGGTTTCGAACCCACGGGACAGTATTCCCCGCGCACTGTCGGCGACAATGCAGTGGTTTGACCAATGGCATACACAAACGGAAAAGGTGCCAAAAGCATTCATCTCACACCAGGTCTACACGGATATGAAAATAACGGCTGGTGGATTTGCAGGACTGGTACAGTTCATAACATGTGACCCCAGAGTGAAACACCTTAACTTGTACATACTTCCCCATCGATTGACACAAGACTTTGTTGAAAACTACTTCAGCCTACAGCGTAGCACAGGCGGTGCAAACCAGAATATGACAGCCAGGGCATACGGCTATCAAGCTAATGCTATTGCTCAAACCCATGTCATACCCAGCAACCTCGGGCGAGCTGCTCTTGATCTGCCCTTGACTATGAGGAATACCAGCAACGCCCCAAGTGCGAGCAAATAGTGCACCAACCATCGTTTCATATCAAATCGCAGGCGGCCATGGTGTAAGTTGCAGTGCATGTAGTGTGAGGACACGAGTTGTGCAAACTGCGTCAAAGCTGTACTGTAATACAAATGACACAAGTGTAGGTAACTCACCCCAGGATGATGCAGAAGCTTCGTCACTTGAGTGATCTTCTCGGCTTTGTTAAATCGGGATCCTGATGTCCCTCCGAGATACTTCATGAGGGTTGACAACTGCAGAACTGTGAGGTTTTCCAATAATGATTCTGGCTTTGATTCTGCTCGGAGGATTGTAGCAGCAGCTTCCACATCGTTCATCCGCAGTTTCTGCCGCACGATGCCTTCAGCTGGTGGGGCCTGAGGAGACGCTTCTTTTTTCTTTTCATGCTGCCTCAAACCTGTGCGCAATGCAATCGACTGGTTAGCCGGCGATAGTCCATACTGCTTCAAAAGCTGCTTCTGCTTGCTCTTCATGAAGTACCGGATAACAAGTTTCAGGAAGTCATAACTGCGATTCTTATCTTGGACTATATCATTAAACAGTTGGCGGATGAGGAGATTTGCTTCCAGGTGCTCTTGCATTGCACTCACGGCGTGTTGCTTGTGTGTGTTGAGCATGCTGGGGAACTGGGAATGGGTTATTAAATTAAGCTGGTGAAACAAGGAGCATGCAGCAGGCACAAGTACAAACGTATGCTTCTGCTCTTCATGCTGTGTTGCAGCTATGGGTGCTGCATAGCCATGGTCACTGAGCGGTTGGTCATTTCTGGGCAACGCTTGATGCTCAGATGTTTGGAGAATGGCTCCAAAATTCTCCAAACAAGGCTGAAGGCTTGTCACGGCATCCTTGCCAAATAAAGGTATAAGCTGCAGCAAGTTGTCGTTGCGACACCTTGCTCCTTCCAGCTCACGCCGCACGGCCACCAAGCACCAACCACCATGGTACTTTTCAGCAAGGTGAGACAAATTGTCAATCACCGGTTCGGGGATGGCTTCAGCAGCTTTGGATGGTGCTATTGACGCTTTCCTGATAGCAGCGGCAGCCGTGGCATGCAGGTAGCTTATCAGATTCGCTAGCACTGCAGATGTAACTTCCAAATCTGAAGAAGAGAAAAGAAAAAGACAACATATAAGGACTGGTGGTTGCAGAGACTGTACTAGTATTCAAAAGCCAGCGTTTGCATACCTACAGTCAACTTCGCTAATAACGACTGCGGATATAACGACAATTCGCGAATAACGACAGAATTTCCATGCCCAGAGCAAAGTACCATCCAACTGAAATACATAGAATGAGACTTCGGGTATAACGACACTTCGCGAATAAGGACACTTTTCTGATGCCCCGCCGAGTGTCGTTATAAGCGAAGTTGACTGTAGTCTGCATACCTAGTCAGAAGCCAATTTTTTTCCAACATGCATGCAAAACGCACTGACCTTCACAATTGATTTTCACTTCGGGAATAGCTGTTGCGATGACGGACAGCATTTGTTGCCATGCTTGAGAAATATCAGCACCCTTGCATGCCTTCAGCTGGCACACTTCCTGGCGTACCAGATTTGCAGTACCTGATGCCTTCTGTAACCGTGTCGTAATAACATGCAGGAATGACTCCGTCGCCTCAGTAACACTCGCCTGTCTGATTGTCAGCAGTTTGCAAATTCCATGGATCACTGCACCTTCCATAGGCCTGTACACCATGATGGCACTACCACTCTTACATCGATCTGCACATAGACAAAGTATGGTTTGAGGATGGAGGTTTACATCATCTACGGTGATGATACATACTAGGTACACACGTAAATTTTCAGGACTTCAATAAATATCCTGTCACAGTGAACAGACAATGCATCGTGGGCAGACTAGGATGAAAAGGATGGTGTCGACCACCTAATTTATCGGGTCAGTTCGGGCACTTAGGTATGCTACAGATTATACATTCGTGTCCACAAGGAAGAGACAAAAACATGTAAACGAAAGAATCTCACCTGTAGCCCACAGCTGAACATCCCCACAACTCAGGTCACCAAGTGAATACGTGGCGTCATCTTCATCTTCCACGGTGGACTCATCACTTTGGCAGTCATCTCTGTCAAGCTCCATCATCCTTTACTTCGAAGGCCAAGGCAGAAAGTATTATTACTTAGAAAAACAAAACGAACTGCTGACACTGGATTCGTTGTGTGCAGGATAATTTTATTGAGTTTTCAAATTTTTTGGACCAAACAGCGAACGCGTCCTTTTGCATGACCTGCGCCGCTTTGACCTCATGGGAAGTCCCTCGCCATGCAGCGCGTGAGGTCTCAGCACTCGTGCCCGAGCTGAGGCAATCATCCGACGCGGTTGTGCATCTCGTGTCGCCTCCCGGTATTTTACGACTCCCTGGAGAAATCCAAAAACAATGCTGATGCTGATACTATGTGCGACGACCAGGTACAAAAACAAAGTTTACGTCAGTTTTTTTCACTTTTGACGTAAAAGTTCACGGACGTAAGAATTTTACACTCTTTTGGCACTTCTGTACCCGTGATAAACAGCTAATCGCAACTGTGCCAGGAATGGGACGGTGGCGACTGGCTGCGCATGCCCACCGCCCCTAAATGGGTGGTAAGCATTCGCAGCCAGTAGCCACCTTACGAACCTGGCACAGCTGCGATTGGCTGGAAGAGGTCACGCGAACGAGCGTTATTACGGAGGATTAGCAAGACGAAATTCGCGTTCGCGTTCGCAAACATTTTTCAGTTCGCGAACTGGATTGCGAACTTCCGCATTTTTCGTTCGGAAAAGTAGTCGGAACACGAATCGTGGATTCGTGTCAGGGCAGTCATAAATTTACCACGCTGTACTGCCTACGTCGTGTCAACATCATGCATGTGCGAATTCTGTTTGCTAATCCTTCTCATAACGCGAATTCCGTCACTGAGTTCGACTTTCTTTGGAGAGCGAACGCGAACGCGAATTTCGTCTTGCTAATCCTCCGTATTGTCCATCGATAGAGCCCTAGGGCTTTATCGCTCAATCAAGGATACCACGTGAAAGTCGCTCATTGGCCACGGCCATGGAAACGGTACGCTAAAAACCTGAAAGGAACTTAGAACCTACATGTAACTTCAACAAACAGCCAATTGGCAAGAATACATGAAAATAGGACAAGGTGTTCAGAAGGTATTTAAGGGCCCATAAAACCACTGGTGTGCAGATAAAACAGCGCTGGTGTCCGATTTCCAATATGTCCCGACTTCTCCGCTTTGGCTTGGTTCCTTTTCTTTTGTAGAAGTCTTTGAATATAATTTACGATCCCTTTTCTAGGCTATGTGATATCTATCCTCCTTATTGGTCATGGGACATCTTGGGAATAAGGAATAATAATATTCCGTTCGCACTGGCATATGATCACTCTCAGCAGACGTTGAGGTTGCAAATTTGTTTGAATATTCTCTTCTCACACGGTTATTATATTACCAGCACTATGATCACTATGAGATCAGAGAAAGGAAGAGTGGAAGAAAAGCAGGGGACCCTCCGTCTGACATTAACCAAAATGCAGTCTAAGCATGTTAAATAGGGTGGTTTTCTACGATTCTGTCGCTATCAACGATGATGCGGGCATCCATCACCATACTGTCACTATGTTGTTGTTGTAGAAGTTTATTTAACGTCGCACCACAAACAGGCGATTTCGCCTCCTTTGATACATGTGGACGACAGAAGGAATGAGAGCACTATGGCTGCCGTGAGTTGTAAGAGGCGAAGAGAATACTATAGTGATAAGAGTAATCGATGCCCTAGTAATAATATTAATATTGGGGCTGAAACGATCATCCATTTAGCCCAATCGATTACTCTTTATCATAACGATCCATTATTCGATTATAATCTTTTTAAAAGAGGCAGCACCTGGAATATGTACGTGGAATGGCCAAAAATGGAAATATGTACAAAATGTTGCACAATAATGCTATGTGGCATGACAACAACTAGCCAACAATGGCTTATAGTGATGCTGAATGTTCGATAACACTACCAAGACATGTTTAGTTTTGTACTAATAGTATAATACTCTGCGCTGCATGCACTGCGCATATAAAAATTAAAAATTAAAAAAACGCAAATTAATCGTAATCGGTTATCTACCCGTTTGTCTCTTTCCCTCAAACTAGTGAAGATTTTATGACTTGGGGCTCCCCGCGTGCTAGAGTGTACGTGAAGTGTGTGGGTACAGTGAGGGCTGCGTCCCACCCGCCTGTGTGGATTCACAGGAAGTGTGAGTTACGAAGTCTGAAGAAAATGTTGAACAGTCTCTGCTGGGATGACGACTACACCATAGCTCAGTGGTTAGAGCATCGCTAGCTACAAGCGAGGGTCCCTGGTTCGAGTCCTGGTGGTGACAGTCAAGTTTTTCTTCAGACTTTTCCCGTTTGTCTCTTTCCCTCAAACTAGTGAAGATTTTATGACTTGGGGCTCCCCGCGTGCTAGAGTGTACGTGAAGTGTGTGGGTACAGTGAGGGCTGCATCCCACCCGCCTGTGTGGATTCACAGGAAGTGTGAGTTACGAAGTCTGAAGAAAATGTTGAACAGTCTCTGCTGGGATGACGACTACACCATAGCTCAGTGGTTAGAGCATCGCTAGCTACAAGCGAGGGTCCCTGGTTCGAGTCCTGGTGGTGACAGTCAAGTTTTTCTTCAGACTTTTCCCGTTTGTCTCTTTCCCTCAAACTAGTGAAGATTTTATGACTTGGGGCTCCCCGCGTGCTAGAGTGTACGTGAAGTGTGTGGGTACAGTGAGGGCTGCATCCCACCCGCCTGTGTGGATTCACAGGAAGTGTGAGTTACGAAGTCTGAAGAAAATGTTGAACAGTCTCTGCTGGGATGACAACTACACCATAGCTCAGTGGTTAGAGCATCGCTAGCTACAAGCGAGGGTCCCTGGTTCGAGTCCTGGTGGTGACAGTCAATTTTTTCTTCAGACTCTTCCCGTTTGTCTCTTTCCCTCAAACTAGTGAAGATTTTATGACTTGGGGCTCCCCGCGTGCTAGAGTGTACGTGAAGTGTGTGGGTACAGTGAGGGCTGCGTCCCACCCGCCTGTGTGGATTCACAGGAAGTGTGAGTTACGAAGTCTGAAGAAAATGTTGAACAGTCTCTGCTGGGATGACGACTACACCATAGCTCAGTGGTTAGAGCATCGCTAGCTACAAGCGAGGGTCCCTGGTTCGATTCCTGGTGGT